GTGGTGTTATTAGCCATCAAACCTCAAAAATAAACTTTTCCCAAAAGGTTTCCACAATTTTGGCCACTACTGTATGTAGCTCTGTTTATCTCCATTCTTCCTCAATAGCTTCTCTAATGTTTTTTTCCCAGCATGATTTTTGAGCTCTGTCAGGTCTTGAGCAGAGATCTAAGGGTAGAAATGGCTGCTGCCGTCTCCTTCTTAAATTAAAAAGATCAGAACCCAAGTGTCAGAGGTGACCGAGTTTTTTTTCCAGTATTTACCTGCAATTAAAGGCCAATTCAGTCTCTAAAATGAGAAATTGTTTAGAGAATGTATCTCCTTACTGTTTAATTGTTTATTGTCTTCTGATAAGCAAAGTCAATGGGAAAACCAGAGTCACTTAACAGCTGTGTTACTAATTTAACAGCTGCAGTGATTCACTTAACTAGTGGGGCAAGAAAGGTTGTGAAATGGAGCAAAATTCACTTCACAAATGTCTCACTTAGCAACAAAAATTTGATTGTAAGTCAAGGACCACCTGTATAGCATCTAAGCTCTGAAAAAGCCAAGCCTACAGCTACCTAGTCAGCGCGGACCATAACAGTGAAATAAATGGATTTACAGTATCCTGTGTACTTAAGGGGGGAAAAAACCATCAACTTTTTACTGACGTGACACTTTCAGTGCATGTGCAACTGCTTTTCCATCTGCCCTCTCCGAGCGTATCCTAGTGAGGAAGGGCAGAGAGGCTATTTCCTTTTGGTATCCTGACCAGGATTGTTCTCCTCCTGACGAAGTGTACAGGAAGGAAATATCTAGCTAAAACCAGCCCATCACCTTCACTTGCTCACCTGACCCCAGAGGGCTCCAAAATTTAAGAGGGGAAACTCATCACCAGATAATGAGACGGTGCCAGTCATAAACATCTCTTGAATTTCTGCAAATTGTTTTAGAGCCTTGAACGGCCTGAAAAACCACCCAGCCCAGGGGTTGGGAGCAGCAGCTGCAAGGCCCCATAACGGCAGCAGAGCAACCTCTGACCCAGCACATCCTTTGCGCATCTTTTTTTAAAATCCTCTTCCAGCTTGTTCCAGTGGGAACCAGCTCTCCCCTCCCCTCCCTCTCCCCTCCCTCATCCTGCCTGTTGGAAGAGTTGAATAGCTTCTCCACCGTTCAGAAATATTTGACCTCGCTGTTGAGTGTCCAGCCATATGGATTAAATAAAACAAACCTTTAAAGCAAGAAAGGAGTTTGCGTTCTTCTAACTTCCTGTGTTTATATGGCCTCTTTTGCCCGGTGGTAACGCTGGTGTCCAGCTGCTTCCCACGCTGAATTGTTGCTTATCAAGTCTGAAGGCCAACATGAAATATAACGTATAGGATAGCAGAATATAATGTATAGAATGTAATGTATAGACCAGGGGTTTTCAAACTTGGCCCTTTTACGACTAGTGGACTTCAACTCCCAGAATTCCTCTGCCTGGCTGAGGAATTCTGGGAGTTGAAGTCCACAAGTCGTAAAAGGGCCAAGTTTCAAGACCCCTGGTATAGACAGTTGCAGCCTTCCCCAGGGTCACGTGATCATAATTGAGACGCTTGGGAACTGACTCACACTTATGACGGTTGCAGTGTCCCGGGGTCGTGTGATCCCCTTTTGCAACCTTCTGACAAGCAAAGTGAAGTCAAAAAAGTCAAAGTCAAAGTGAAGCCAGATTTGCTTAATGACCGTGTTATTAACAGCTGCAGTGGTTCATTGAACAACTGTGGTTCAAGAAAGGTTGTAAAATTCACTGAATAACCAAAATTTTGGGCTGAGTTGACAACAGAGCGAGCAATACACTCTGCCGTCCTCGTTAGCAACCTAGCATTGTATTCAGGAATGGGGGGGGGGGAAGGAGCCCTTTGCCAGATTTCTTTCAAAGCGACATACATAAAATTGGAAAACAAAATAAGGAAACCAAACCAAACCATAAGGACCCTATTATATGCTTTTTCATCCTTCTGACTTTCAGGAACTAAACCAAACCAAAAACAGTGTTAGGCTGCATTAACAGAGGGATAGAATCAAGATCACCTGAAGTGTTAATACCACTTTACAAGTCCTTGGTAAGGCCGCACTTGGAATCCTGCATCCAGTTTTGGTCACCACGATGTAAAAAAGATGCTGAGACTCTAGAAAGAGTACAGAGAAGAGCAACTAAGATGATTAGAGGACTAGAGGCTAAAACATGTAAGGAACGGTTGCTGGAATTGGGTATGTCTAGTTTAATGAAGAGAAGGATGAGGGGGAACAGGATAGCAGCCTTCCAGTATCTCAGGGGCTGCCCCAAAGAAGAGGGAGTCAAGCTATTCTCCAAAGCGCCTGAAGGCAGGACAAGAAGCAACAGGTGGAAACTGACCAACGAGTGAAGCAACCTAGAACTAAGGAGAAACTTCCTGACAGTTAGAACAATTAATCAATGGAACAACCTGCCTCCAGAAGCGGTGGGTGCTCCAACACTGGAAATTTTTCAGAAGCGACTGGACAGCCATTTGTCCAAAATGGTATAGGGGAAAAACCCACTTAGGGCTAGGGTTAGGTCCCCATGAACTCGGAGAGCAAAATGGACATCGCCAATGGATTCGTAGCGCATTGGTATGCTTAGGAGGGTTTTGAGTTTTGGAGCCCGCCCTATCTGTGTTTCCTGGTAAAATACATGGGAAAATCCCATAGGGTTTCCTGCCTGAGCAGGGGGTTGGACTAGATGACCTCCAAGGCCCCTTCCAACTATTATTATTATTATTAATAATAATAATAATAATAATAATAATAATAATGATATTAATATTATTAATATTAATATAAGGTAGCTTAGGAACATTTATCTTGCTTCTTTCGGGGGTGGGAGTGGGGTGGAACAAATTGTTTTCTTGCATCCCAGCCAGATGATGTTGGTTAATTAGCACAACACCTCACCACTCCCTTCTTCAGACAGTAAATAAAAGTTTGGCTAGGACGGCCCTCTTCCCTGCAGGATGGTGGCGTCTCTTTCACTTGCACCTTGGATTGATTCCCCCCCCCCCAGCTTGGACATTACATCAATGCTTCCTTGAAAGGATATACAGGCAGTCCTTGACTTACAACAGCTTGTTTAGTGACCGTTCGAAGTTACAGTGGCGCTGAAAAACGGGACTCATGACCGTTTTTCACACCTGCCCCCGTTGCAGCATTCCCGGGGTCAGGCGATCAAAATTCAGACACGCTTGGCAGCTGGCTCAGATTTATGATGGACGCAGTGTCCCTGGGGTCACGAGATCCCCCTTTTGTGACCTCAGAGTCAATGGGGGGGGGGGCTGATTCACTTCATAACCGTGTGACACTCAAAACTGCAGTGGTCCCCTTAATGACTGTGGTAAGGAAGGTCATGAAACGGGGCAAAATTCGCTTCACAGATGTCTCAGAAAATGTGGGCTCCATTGTGGGCCCCTAAAACGATGCATTTATCCCCTGCCTTGCTCTCCAGTGCGGCTTGCTGGATTGGAACAGGTGAAGGGAGCATTTTCCCGCAGCCCACCTGAAGCTCAGAGGCATCTCCGAAGATGCTTGAAACTAACCGGCTCCCTTTTCCTTCAGGCTCGGGAAGAGGCCATTTCCAAGAGACAGAAGAGAAACAGGAATGTCTTGGCAAATTCCACCTGCGTCTTTCCCACAGACGTCATTGCCATTTTTTCTTTTGTTTTCGCTATCGATTGCTACGCATTACACAATTATTCTTTCTTTCTTTCTTTCTTTCTTTCTTTCTTTCTTTCTTTCTTTCTTTCTTTCTTTCTTTCTTTCTTTCTTTCTTTCTTTCTTTCTTTCTTCTTTTCCTTTTTTGGTAACCCTTCTATACTTGTAACGTGTTTCCTAATACCCAGAGGATTGAAATGTGAGGGTAGCTCGGGAGCCTGTATAAATAACAGCGGCTTCTCATCTATAGTTAGGTCTGGCAATTACAGTACTCTAAAATATGGGACTGTGGATGGATTTGGGGCAGCCAAATACAGGTAGTCTTTGACTTATTCATTTAGTGGCCGTTTGAAGTTGCAACGGCACTGGAAAAAGTGACTTAACGGCCGTTTTTCACGCTTAGGACCGTTGCAGCATCCCTTTGGTTCCGCGATCAAAATCCAGGCCCTTGGCAATCGGTTCATATTTCTTATGGTTGCAATGTTTTACTTAGCAACAAAATGTTGGGCTCAATTGTGGTTGTAACTCAAGGATTAGCTGTATTGTATTCATAGGGGGGAATTCATTCGGAATCATACTGATGATTGCTGGGACAAAAATTAATCCCTTCTCATTTGGAGATTTTTTTTTTTTTGAATTGGGACAGTATCCATCCCCTTTCTCTTTTTCCCTCTGCTCTTTATTGACTGCTATAAAATAGAATTTAATTGTTCCCCATAAAAAGCTCTTGCCTTCGCTTTGCATTTATTATTCACATAGCAGCACCAGTGGGCGTGAAGATGAAATAACAAGCCCCTCGGCTGCGGAATTTGCAATGTAAAATCCCACCCAAGGAAGGAGAGGAGGATAAGGAGGAAAGTAGACGCATAAATATTTACTTATTTATCACAATCACGTAGGCTGCGGTTTCAGGATAGCAACATTTCTGAAACAGTCATAGAAAATCATATTATTTAAAGCAAACGAGGAGTTTTCCAGAAGGACGGTTATGGCTCTGCGGAGCAGGGAATAAAGTGTTCAGCCAAGGAATATTCTGTGATGGTGGTTGTCCTTTCCATTTCCCCCTTCTGGCTTAACTGATGTGGATTGGTGTCTCATGGGTGTTCTGACGTGTTTATAGCTCCATTTAGTCTTCCCACTACATGTAATATTGGGAAGTGCTCTGTAACTGCCATAGCAAACTCCGACCCATTCCTGAAAGTTGCCAGCTGATCATTGGAATACAAATGACTGCATGAGACAAGGATGGCCAAGATGATGGAGATTAGACACTAATATGAAAATTGCCTCTCCATTTCCTTTCGTAACAGTAATGGAGAATCCGATGAGCAGCGCATTTCCTTCGTCACGTATTCAAGAAGACGATGGCTTAAAAGAGAACATCGATGTTCCACCTGGGTGAGCAATTTATTGTCCAACTTTAGGCTGTTGCATACTTAACCTCTGCCGTCTCGTCTCTTTTCCCAACTTGATCAGTACACAGGAAATAAGAGTTGTCTTCCAGTTCTCACCACTTTTAGATTTTTCACAGGCAGTAAAATAAGCATTTAAACTCTAGTGGGATTTGAAAGAGTGCAGAGAAGAGCAACAAAGATGTTTAGTGGGCTGGAGGCTAAAACATACGGAGAACGGTTGCAGGAATTGAGTATGTCTAGTTTAATGAAGAGAAGGACTAGAGGATGACATGATAGCAGTGTTCCAATATTTGAGGAGTTATCTCAAAGAAGAGGGAGTGAACTTATTCTCCAAAGTGCCTAAAAGGAGGACAAGAAGCAACGGATGGAGACCAGTGAAGGAGAGAAGCAACCTAGAACTAAGGAGAAACTTCCTGACAGTTAGAACAATTAACCAGTGGAACAACCTGCCTCCAGAAGTTGTGGGTGCTCCATCCCTAGAGGTTTCTAAGAAGAGACTGGACAGCCATTTGTCTGGAATGGTACAGGGTCTTGAGCAGGGGGTTGGACTAGAAGATCTCCAAGGTCCCTCCCAACTCTTTATTCTGTTATTCTGAATTACAGTGGCATTAAACGAGTTTGGCCACTTTCTCTGACTGGTTCTTTTTTAGGTCAGGCCTAAGATCTTTCTGGATTTGTAGGGAAGGAATGAAAAAAAAAAAAAGGATTTATTTGGCCTGTTTGTCGCCTACCTTTCTCCAGCTCTGACCTGATGGGGGAAAAGGGAGAGAACACCCAAGCCCCAAGCCATGGAAGCTGCAGTGCATGCGTTTCCTTGTGAGCTGGTTTCAGAGAGACAAATGTGCTGCGCCCAGCAATTTATTAAGGGCTCTGAACGCCGTGGAACACGCTGTGGTGTGTCATATCCCTCCAAGGTTGTTTTGATTCTAAAAGAAAAAAAAAATCCTTCCTCCCCCCCCCCCCCCAGTGCAACAGCCAGCAGTGGTGTGACAATAAATGAAAGCAAAAAACGAGAGCAGTGTAGATCAAAGCTAGCATCATCATCAGAGTTAGAAATGTTGTCTGAAACCTACTGAATAATAGAACACTGTTTCTGCCTTTGGTCCTTCCTCTGAAGATTTCAGCCCTTCACAACACGGCGAAGACACGGAGCTTCTGCTCTTAATTACAAACAAAATTTATTTTCCCTGATAATGCACCCTGTTGAGATCAGAAATCGCCTGCAAGGAGCAAAGGCAACTTTTTTGCCATTCAGGGGCCCTTATCAGCTGCTCTTTGCCATGCTCATCTCCAAACATTTCCCAGTTGTGCCATTTTGGAGGCCTGGCGGATGGGGCAAATTTGCGCCGGAGTAGCTCTGTCTTGAGGCAACGAGAGTGGGAGTATTTCCGATGATTATCTGACACTTTTTTCCTCTCTCTCTCTCTCTCTCTTTCAGGGTAAATCATTCAGAAGGATCGTGCGGTGGCAGCGCCTCCCAGCCTGCCAGCCATCCAGATTTTGCCGAAGACGTCTTGCAAAGCCAACTGTTGCGCAATGAGTCATTTCATAAAGCTGAACATAGCGAACTGAGGGCCGAGGAGGAGGTGAGCGGAAGCGACTGGAAGGCTTCTCAAAGATTTCCTCCTCCGCCCGCCCGTTCTCTCCATTCATCTTTTCTTCCTCAATGAATGGAGAGCCGATTGTTTAATATTTTAATTCTAGCCCTCCTGCCCTACCGCAGGGGGCTCGGTGTCATGGGATGCCATCCACAAATAGATCCCTAGCAGGTTCTGAGGATTGGGCTGGAGCAGAAGCTGTCTTTCGAAATAGGCGCATTAAAGCCTTCGGTGCAGGGAGTCCTCGACTTACGACAGTGCGTTTAGTGACCATTTGAAATTACACCGGCACTGGAAAAAAAAAAAAGGGGACATAACGACCGTTTTCCACCCGTACGACCGTCGCAACATCCCCGGGGTCACGCGATCAAAATTTGGAGGTTTAGCAACTGACTCTTACATTGTGACGGTCGCAGAGTCCCGGGATCACGGGACACTCCCCCCCCTTTTGCGACCTTCTGACGAGCAAAGTCAATGGGGAAGCCAGGTTCGCTTAACGGCCGTCTGAACTGCAGCGATTCGCTTAAGAGCGGTGGCAAAGGAAGGGGGTAAAATGGGGCAAAACTCACTTGACAACCGTCCGGCTTAGCGGCGGAAATCTGGAGCTCCCTTGTGGTGGTAAGTCGAGGACTGCCTGCAGCTTGTAGAAACCGGGGAGGTGATAATGTCCTGTCTAAAACGAGCGATCGGTGTCTGAATTTTCTCCTACCGCAGAGCGCCAAGAGAGGAAGCTGGTCTAAAGGGCGGAAGAGGAAGAAGCCTTTAAGGGACAGCAATGCCCCCAAGTCCCCCCTCACGGGCTACGTCAGGTTTATGAACGAGCGCCGGGAGCAGCTTCGCGCCAAGAGACCCGAAGTCCCGTTTCCAGAAATCACCCGGATGTTGGGCAACGAATGGAGCAAACTCCCGCCGGAGGAGAAACGGGTACTGCTGTCTTCGCCTTTCCATGTGAGGGAATGTTTTGTGGCAGGGCGTCTCCAACCTTGGCCCCTTTGAAGACCTGTGGACTTCAGCTCCCAGAATTCCCCAGCCAGCTCTGGTTTAAAACCTATAAGTCCACAAGTCTTCAAAGGGGCCAAGGTTGGAGAGCCTTTTTTTTTTTTCATGGCATTTGATGGCATCCTCGACTTCTTTGGGGGAACCAAAGACAAAAAAAAATCCAAGGATTCAATCCATAGCACTGATGATGTTACCTAGTTGGGTCATGAGACGTCTGCAAGAAAACGACCAAGCTCAGAGGGCACCAAGGACCCCTCAGTCCTCCTTTTCCTCCTCCTCCTCCTCCTCCTCCTCCTCCTCTCCTTCCTCTTCCTCCTCTTCTCCACTTCCTTCTAGCACTGATGATGTTACCTAGTTGGGTCACGAAACGTCCTCAAGAAAACAACCAAGCTCAGAGAGCACCAAGGACCCCTCAGTCCTCCTCCTCCTCCTCTTCCTCCTCCTCTTCCTCTTCCTCCTCCTCAAACCCCATTCCTTTCTTGCACTGATGATGTTACCTGGTTGGGTCACGAAACGTCTGCAAGAAAACAACCAAGCTCAGAGGGCACCAAGGACCCCACAATCTCCTCCTCCTCCTCTTCCTCCTCCTCTTCCTCTTCTCCACTTCCTTCTAGCACTGATGATGTTACCTAGTTGGGTCATAAAACGTCTGCAAGAAAACAACCAAGCTCAGAGAGCACCAAGGTCCCCTCAGCCCTCCTCCTCTTCTTCCTCCTGTCTGTAAACAACAACCTAACCAAGGAACCAGCAAGATCACTCCCACCCACACTGACAGGGCAAGCCACTGAATATAAACAGAGAGTGAACCCCACTCCCTTCTATTACTGATGATGTTACTTAGCTGGGTCATGAAACGTCTGCGAGAAAACCACCAAGCTCAGCACCAAGTATCCCACAGTTGAAACCTCAGCTACAGATACTCTCTGCTAGGGTAGGGTGCTTTCTGAAAACGCTTTCCTCGTGGACCTGTAGTTTCCCCAGAACATAATGCAGCCCTTTAGCCTTCAGGAGACAACTGTGGAGCATGGCAGGTAGGAATAGGACATTCCTTTCCAGAGGGAGTGTGGGGAAATGGCGAGGCAGGCTGATGGAACGATGCCACGTTGCATTCATCGGTACAGCCGGCGTCCCGGGCAAAACAGATACAACTGAAAGAACAGATCTGAGCGGCATGCAGATTGAAGGCACAAAGGGATCATTCATCTCCCCATTTAGAAAGGAGGTAGAGAAAAACCCCACTCATAATGGGGAGCCTTGCCTCACTCTTCTTTTTCGTCAAAAGAAGGACGAAACCCAAAGGAGGTTTGTGGGGTGCTGGCTGACAGGCTAACATGCTTCCTTGAGCGAATTGGTTTGTCGGAAGCTGGCTGTGGCTTCCAGCAGTGTTTCTGGCACCGGCATCCCGCCTGGGTCTCCTCAAAAGTAAGGCCTTGAACTCCGAAGGGCTTTCTGTTGTGTATCTGGGACAGAAGATGTCAGGTTAGCAGTTTTCCTTCCTGAGTGGCTTGCAAGCTTGGGAAATAAGTCGGTTTGGTGGACAAAGGAGTCAAACAGGAGCAACATGATAAACACAAAGCGTGTCACGCCGTGACTGGCAAGTCCAAAAAAAGGCCACTGACAGGACTCGGGAGATTTGCAAAGCACAGCCAAGCTCAGAGGGCACCAAGGACCCCTCCTTTAGCAATAGGACCTTGATCCCTCACTTGTCACTTTGCGGGTAGTCCTCGCCTTACGACCACAATGGAGCCCCCAAATTTATGTTGCTCTCGGAGACAGGCGCGAAGCGAGTTCTGACGACGTTTCTCGCCCCCTTTGCTAAGGGAGTTGCTGCAGTTCCTCAGATTAGTAACGCGGCCGTTAAGTGAACCCGCTCTCCCTGTTGATTTTGCTTTGTCAGAAGGTCACAAAAGGGGAGCGGGTGAGTCCGGGACGCTGCAACCGTCATAAATGTGAGTCAGCTGCCAAGCAATCTGAATTTAAATCACGTGACCCCGGGGAGGCCGCGACGGTTGTAGGTGTGAAAAATGGCTGCAAGTCGCTTTTTTCCCAGGGCTGTTGTAAGTTCGAATGGTCACTAAGTGAACTGTTGTTAAGTCGGGGACTAGCTGTGCTTGATGCCTGTTGCCGTTTTGCTTCCTTTGAGCGCACTTTGCAAGGGATTCGATATTCAGGCCGCACCTTAGCGATATAGAGAAATGCAGGGCATCCCGGGGGATTTTGGGTGTGGCGCTGCTGACTCCACTGAAAAATTGCCTCAACGCACCAAGGACACACTTGCGTTGTGGCTTGTGGGCAGGTGGAAGCCGAGTCCCTTTGCTCTTCCGTTCTGCTGTCACTGCTCACCTTTTCCTTGTGCCTCCCCGATTTCTAAACGACGGAACAAATTTGGAGAGGAAGGAGAGGGGAGAGGCGTTTTTAATCCGAAAAGGCCCCATCCTTTCTCTGCACGCTCAGGTCTGTTTTTGAAGCTCTTTGCACGTTAAGGGCTCCCTTTGAAGAGTTTTGCAGCCCGGCTCCATTCATTAAGGCACAGTGACAGGCCGCTCCAGGCAAACTTTGATATGATTTTTTTTAGAACTAGATTCAAACATGTTGCTGATAGGAAAGCTAAACTTTTATGCTTGATTCATCCCATACAGAGGCAGGAGAACAGATGTACAATTAAACCTGCGATAAGCGTCTTCTGTTCTTCATTTATTCCACCACCTTTTATATCTTTATATCTATCTATCTATCTATCTATCTATCTATCTATCTATCTATCTATCTATCTATCTATCTATCTATCTATCTATCTATCTATCTATCATCTATCTATCTATCTATCTATCTATCTATCTATCTATCATCCATCTATATCTCCCTCCCTCCCTCCCTCCATCTATCACCTATATCTCCCTCCCTACCTCATCCGTCCATCCATCCATCCATCCATCCATCCATCCATCCATCCATCATCTATATCTTCCTCCCTCCCCATCCATTCATCTATATCTCCCTTCCTCCCTCTCCCCATCCATCCATCCATCATCCATCTATATCTCCCTCCCTCCCATCCGTCCATACACACATACATGCATACATATCATCCATCCATCCATCCATCCATCCATGTCTCCCTCCCTCCCCATCCAACAATCCATCCATCCATCCATCCATTCATCCATCTATCATCTATAGCTCCCTCCCCATCCATCCATTCATTCACCCATCATCTATATCTCCTTCCCATCCATCCATCCATCCATCCATCCATCCATCCATCCATCCATATCTCCCATCCATCCATCCATCCATCCATCCATCCATCCATCCATCCATCCATCCATATCTCCCATCCATCCATCCATCCATCCATCCATCCATCCATCCATCCATCCATCCATCCATCCTCTATTTCTATTTTCCCTCTTTCCCAACATTTCTGCAGTTTAACCCCAGAGTAAAGCCAGAGGTGCAGACACTCCACGCTCAGACTGATCTATTCTGAGTTACTCACGGCCCGTCACAGGGAGACTTGTAGGATTGCTTTGTGCATGCAAGAAATGACAGGCACAGCCCACATCCTGAAGCAGGTCACAACTGAGGATCCATGAACAAAATGCCAAACTCTGGGCTGAGGTTAACAGATGGGCGGTATCGGAAGGGGACTCTGCTGCTTTTTAACCAGGCCAGCTCTGAGTATTCAGCCCCGCTTTACATTCGTTGGGGAGCCTGGGACGGGGGCTGAATTTCAACTCTCTGGCTTCCTCAGCCAGTTGACCAAGAACAGAGCAGTGATTGTTCTCTCCTTGCAGCGCTACCTTGACGAAGCCGACAGAGATAAGGAGCGCTACATGAAGGAGCTGGAGCAGTACCAGAAGACGGAGGCGTACAAGGTCTTTAGCAGGAAAACCCAGGACAGACAGAAAGGCAAATCACATCGGCAAGGTATGGCATTACACGCGGGGCCACTCCTTCAGGCTCACTCCATGGCAACATGGGCCGTCCTTGACTTGCAGCCGCAACGGAGCCCAACATTTTCCTTGCTAAGCGAGACAGTCGTTAACTGAGTTTTGCCCCATTTTGCAACCTTGCTTGCTACAGTTTGTAAGTGAACCACTGCAGTTGTTAAGTGAACCGGGCTTCCCCGTTGACTTTGCCTGTCAGAAGGTCGCAAAAGGAGATCACAGGACCCTGGGATATTGCACCCGTCGTAAATGTGAGTCGGTTGCCCAATGGCTGAGTTTTGACCACGTGACCATGGGGATGCTGCACGTGTGAAAAATGGCCATAAGTCTCTTTTTCCAGTGCCGTCATAACTTCGAACGGTCACTAAACGAAGGCGAGGAATACTCATATCCTGTCTGAGGGACGCTATTGTAGATCCACTTGTTCTTTTTTCGTGCATTATGTTGTGCACGATAACCATACAGGTATTGGGACCCTGCAGACAATAAGCCACAACTGTTTTATTTCTCGGCACCTTCTCGAAGATCTGCGCTTTCTGAGCAAAGGACACTGATGGCCAGAAGGTTGCATGGTTGCAGTTGAAGCTCCTAAAAGCTACAACTGCTGACGTGATAAGATGCCGAGATGGGTGGCAGGAGGATTCCTCGGTGTCTGGGTGGGTTGCTGTCTCCTTCCTGGACTGCAGAAGCAGATGGATTTTCTCCTCCTCCTTTTTAAAATAATATTTTATTGATTTTCTATTTTTTACATTTTATTAGTGCTTAGTAAACAATGTGTTGTCTGGGTTGATTTCTTATATTTAGTAATACTAGTTAAGTTCTTATTCTCTCAGATGGATTTCTTTCTGAGTGGTGTTTCTGTCAGATTTTCAGCAAATATCTTCTGTTTTTTTTATTTACCTACATCTACACCTGCATATGTGCAACAATTACAGATACTCATTAACTTAACAACTGCGGTTGGGGTCAGAACTATGGTGGCTAAGCAAGGTGGCTGTTATGTGAACACCCCCTCCAATTTTATGACCTTTTCTGCAGTTGTTAAGTGAATTGTGCTGTCGTTAGGCCATTCCTGACGTCCCCCATTGACTTTGCATGTCAGAATGGGCTGGGAATGTGGCCAATGGTGATCCCATGATCCTGGGACACGGCAGTCATTGTAAACACATAGTGAATTGACTCCTCCTCTGTCTTGTTTCAGAAGGAACACGCCCAGCTACCCATGACCATCAGGTAAATACCTTCCTTTTTACGATGACATCCAGAGCTGATTCTTTTCTCATTAAACGTCACCGGAATTAATTGAAGGGACATTGAGGCCCCATATAGTTCATAATGCCATCTTAAATAGAATGAAATACCATCCCATAGACAAAACGTTACAGTAACCTCAGTCCTGTCCCTTGCTGGACCAGTTGGTTAAGATTCTGCAAAATCTAGTCTCAAACCTTAAGAGAAAACATTGTTGGGATTGTGTGATGCTAAGCCAAGGAGAGAACACCCCCCCTCCTCCCTGTTTTGGTATCCCAAGTATCAAGATCTCTTTTCATTTCTAACTGGTCTTTTGCAGCTCTGGTGATCGGNCACTGTTTAAAAATAAAGGCAACCAAGCTTTCGTCGGGCTCTCCCGACATCATCAGGGTGACCATTCAGGGTGACCTGATGATGTCGGGAGAGCCCGACGAAAGCTTGGTTGCCTTTATTTTTAAACAGTGTTTTAATTGCTTTTAAACTTTTAACTGCTTTTAAACATTTTAAACTTCTCTTGGTGAGCGTGATTATTTTGATACAACATACACATATCTATATCTATATCTCCCTCCCCTCCCTCCCATCCGTCCATACACACATACATGCATACATATCATCCATCCATCCATGTCTCCCTCCCTCCCTCCCCATCCATCCATTCACCCATCATCTATATCTCCCTCCCATCCATCCACCCACCTGTGCATCCATCCATCCTCTATTTGTATTTTCCCTCTTTCCCAACATTTCTGCAGTTTAACCCCAGAGTAAAGCCAGAGGTGCAGACACTCCATGCTCAGACTGATCTATTCTGAGTTACTCACGGCCCGTCACAGGGAGACTTGTAGGATTGCTTTGTGCATGCAAGAAATGACAGGCACAGCCCACATCCTGAAGCAGGTCACAACTGAGGATCCATGAACAAAATGCCGAACTCTGGGCTGAGGTTAACAGATGGGCGGTATCGGAAGGGGATTCTGCTGCTTTTTAACGATGCCAGCTCCTGAGTATTCAGCCCCGCTTTACATTCGTTGGGGAGCCAGGGACGGGGGCTGAATTTCAACTCTCTGGCTTCCTCAGCCAGTTGACCAAGAACAGAGCAGTGATTGTTCTCTCCTTGCAGCGCTACCTTGACGAAGCCGACAGAGATAAGGAGCGCTACATGAAGGAGCTGGAGCAGTACCAGAAGACGGAGGCATACAAGGTCTTTAGCAGGAAAACCCAGGACAGACAGAAAGGCAAATCACATCGGCAAGGTATGGCATTACACGCGGGGCCACTCCTTCAGGCTCACTCCATGGCAACACGGGCCGTCCTTGACTTGCAGCCGCAATGGAGCCCAACATTTCCCTTGCTAAGCGAGACAGTCGTTAAGTGAGTTTTGCCCCATTTTACGACCTTGCTTGCAACAGTTTGTAAGTGAACCACTGCAGTTGTTAAGTGAACTGGGCTTCCCCGTTGACTTTGCCTGTCAGAAGGTCGCAAAAGGAGATCACAGGACCCTGGGATATTGCAGCCGTCGTAAATGTGAGTCAGTTGCCCAGTGGCTGAGTTTTGACCACGTGACTACGGGGATGCTGCACGTGTGAAAAACGGCCATAAGTCCCTTTTTTCAGTGCCGTCATAACTTTGAATGGTCACTAAGTGAACTGTTGTAAGGCGAGGAATACTCACATCCTGTCTGAGGGACGTTATTGTAGATCCGCTTGTTCTTTTTTCGTGCATTAGGTTGTGCACGATAACCATACAGGTATCGGGACCCTGCAGACCATAAGCCACAACTGTTTTATTTCTCGGCACCTTCTCGAAGATCTGCGCTTTCTGAGCAAAGGACGCTGATGGCCAGAAGGTTGCATGGTTGCAGTTGAAGCTCCTAAAAGCTACAACTGGTGTCTGGCTGGGTTGCTGTCTCCTTCCTGGACTGCAGAAGCAGATGGATTTCCTCCTCCTCCTTTTTTTAAAAAAAATAATATTTTATTGATTTTCTATTTGTTACATTTCATTAGTGCTTAGTAAACAACGTGTTGTCTGGGTTGATTTCTTATATTTAGTAATACTAGTTAAGTTCTTACTCTCTCAGATGGATTTCCTTCTGAGTGGTGTTTCTGTCAGATTTTCAGCAAATATCTTGTTTTCTTTTTATTTACCTACATCTACACCTGCATATGTGCATCAATTACAGGTACTCATTAACTTAACAACTACGGTTGGGGTCAGAACTATGGTGGCTAAGCAAGGTGGCTGTTAAATGAACACACCCCCCCTCCAATTTTATGACCTTTTCTGCAGTTGTTAAGCGAATTGTGCTGTCATTAGGCCACTCCAGACGTCCCCCATTGACTTTGCATGTCAGAACGGGCTGGGAATGTGGCCAATGGTGATCCCATGATCCTGGGACACGGCAGTCATTGTAAACACATAGTGAATTGACTCCTCCTCTGTCTGTTTCAGAAGGAACACGCCCAGCTACCCATGACCATCAGGTAAATATCTTCCTTTTTACGATGACATCCGGAGCTGATTCTTTTCTCATTAAGCGTCACCGGAATTAATTGAAGGGACATTGAGGCCCCATATAGTTAATAATGCCATCTTAAATAGAATGAAATACCATCCCATAGACAAAACGTTACTGTAACCTCAGTCCTGTCCCTTGCTGGACCAGTTGGTTAAGATTCTGCAAAATCTAGTCTCAAACCTTAAGAGAAAACATTGTTGGGATTGTGTGATGCTAAGCCAAGGAGAGAACACCCCCCCTCCTCCCTGTTTTGGTATCCCAAGTATCAAGATCTCTTTTCATTTCTAACTGGTCTTTTGCAGCTCTGGTGATCGG